CGGGTATAAAGATCGAAGCTTTATTGTTTGGGGTTGTTTCTATGGCTTTAATCGAGGCGGCGATCGTATATGCGCGTACCAAGTTTATATCATGCCCGGGTTAGAATTGAGATACTTTATGCCTTGTTTTGATTATGTGCTCATCTTGATTCATGATCTATTTGGCCTTATATGACTACGTTCACCCTCTTATTCATTGTGGGTGGGGGTGGGGAGGTGGGTTGAGGGAGTAAGATAAAGAACATTTAGAGTTTAGTGATAGGATTAACTATTGTTTCTCTTATTTCTGAAGTCATGCATCATCAGATTACTACCCCACTTATGTTATTAGCAAGTTAATTCATTTCCTTCTATTTCGCTCTTTTGTTTTCCTTTAAATGTTTCTAGTAGGAACAAATCCTGGTAATCTAAGCTGCTATCTTTTTCTGATAAGCAGGAGCCACCAGTTATCCTGGTTGAGTCAATTGAGGAAGCAAGCACCACGGAGAACTTGAATATGCCAGAAATCCATGACCTTGATGACGGAATCCCCATTATCAACTCCCCACGTACTCCTGACTCTTTCTCCAATCTGCATGTGGTTGATGAAGCCCCAGGAGGTGCTGGTCTATCAGGTTTAAGGAACAACATCCTCGATGAGGTGGAAAATGATAACCAGATCAAGGTCTTGGAAAACTATGTATTGCCACTAGAAGCAGCTGATTTTCATCATGATGAGCAATATATAGTTGAAGAGACCGATGGTATCAGCGACATTGATGAGGTATTTCTCTCTGAATTAGATACAGTTGGTGACTTTAGCATCAAGGGGTCAAGCCAGAATGAGTTTGAGAGACAAATCAACTCTAGTGCAGAGGATTTGTCTTCATTCCATGCTGTTGATTCTGGAACTACAGAAGTTTCCGAAGAGGCATGTGCTGAAGTTCATGAAAGAAAGGTTCCGTTGCACCCTGAGAACTTCAATGCATCCACATTTGAAGAGATTGATGAGCGTGAAGAAAAGGAGTGTGCTTCAGATATTCAAAACTATGGATTGAGAAGTATCGATCATATTGATGTTGTTGATCCTAGATCAATTGAAGGAGGATTCTCAGAGGATAGTGACACTGGACCTTCATATCCCAGTGTAAAGCACAATTTGGATGCTCATGAGATAGTTCCAGAAATGCCTATAGTTGAAGCTCACAACTCTGTCTTTGAGGTAGAAAACTTACAATCTACTCAAACTGGAGTGACTGAAGAGGAAACTGATTCTGGTATGCCAGTACTGGAAGCACAAACAATTCAAGATATTGAGTCAGCATTTTGGCAAGTTTATGAGAAAGAAATAGAGAAATCTAATATTCTTGAGCAATCTAACGCTGAAGATTCTGGAATGCCAGTGCTGGAAGCACAAACAATTGAAGATATTGAGTTAGCATTTAGAAGTACTTCTGAGAAAGAAATAGAGCACTCGGATGTGCTTGAGCTACCTAATTCTGAGCTAGTAACTGAACAATCTGGGAGTTCAAACAATGACGCAGTGGTTGAAATGTCAAGTTCAGTACAAGAAGATTCTGGAATGCCAGTTCTGGAAGCACAAACAGTTGAAAATATTGAGTTAGCATTTGGAAGTACCTCTGAGAAAGAAATAGAGCACCCGAATGTGCTTGAGCTACCTAATGCTGAGCTAGTAACTGAACAATCTGGGAGTTTAAACAATGTGACAGCGGTTGAAGTGTCAAGTTCAGTACAGGAAGATTCTGGAATGCCAGTTCTGGAAGCACAAACAGTTGAAGATATTGAGTTAGCATTTAGAAATATTTGGGAGAAAAAAATAGAGCACTCGGATGTGCTTGAGCTACCTAATGCTGAGCTAGTAACTGAACTATTTGGGAGTTCAAACAATGCGGCAGCAGTTGAAGTGTCAAGTTCAGTACAGGAAGATTCTGGAATGCCAGTTCTGGAAGCACAAACAGTTGAAGATATTGAGTTTGCATTTAGAAATATTTGGGAGAAAGAAATAGAGCACTCGGATGCGCTTGAGCTACCTAAAGCTAAACTAGTAACTGAAGAATCTGGGAGTTCTGACAATGCAGCAGTGTTTAAAGTGTCAAGTTCAGTACAGAAAGATTTTGGAATGCCAGTGGTGGAAGCACAAACAATTGAAGATATTGAGTCAGCATTTAGAAGTACTTCTGAGAGAGAAACAGAGAACTCAAATGTGCTTGAGCTAGCTAATGCTGAGCTAGTAACTGAAGAATCTGGAAACAATGCGGCAGTGGTTGAAATGTCAAGTTCAGTACAGGAAGATTCAGGAATGCCAGTGCTGGAAGCACAAACAGTTGAAGATATTGAGTTAGCATTTAGAAATATTTGGGAGAAAGAAATAGAGAAATCGAATGTGTTTGAGCTTCCTAATGCTAAACTAGTAACTGAAGAATCTGGGAGTTCTGACAGTGCGGCAGCAGTTGAAGCTGGAATGCAAGTGCTGGAAGCACAAACAATTAAAGATATTGAGTTAGCCTTTAGAAGCACTTGTGAGAAAGAAATAGATCACTCAGATGTGCTAGAGCTACCTAATGCTGAGCTAGCAACTGAAGAATCTGGAAACAATCTGGCAGCGGTTGAAGTGTCGAGTTCAGTACCGAAAGATACTGGAATGCCAGTACTGGAAGCACAAACAATTGAAGATATTGAGCTAGCATTTAGGCAAATTTCTGAGAATGAAACAGAGACAGAGAACTCGAATGTGCTTGAGCTGCCTAATGCTGAGCTACTAACTGAAGAATCTGGAAACAATGCAGCAGCGGTTGAAGTGTCAAGTTCAGCTCTGGAAGATTCTGGAATGCCAGTGCTCGAAGCAGAAACAGTTGAAGATATCGACACAGTATTTAGGCGAATATCTGAGAAAGAAATTGAAAAATCAAATGTTCTTGAGCAACCTAATGCTGAGCTAGCAACTGACATATCTGGGAATTCTGACAACGCAGCAGTGCTCGAAGTGTCAAGTGTGACACGCGCAATGCAATTACCAATTCTTGAAACAAGACAAACTGAATATTTTGATTTGGATCATGAAAATCTTTCAGAGAGTGATAGTGATGAGCATACGGAGAAATCCAGAGACATAGGAGCTCCTTCAGATTCACAAAACATCGACACAGACTTGGCTTTGAAACAAGTATTGGAAGGAAATCTGGAGAAACCCCTGAACTCCACTTCCGAAGGTGAGTTAGTAGAAGCTAAGCCAAGTGAAGCAGGCTTATCCAATGATACGGAATCAAGTGCTAGAGGATCTGATGTATCCGAATTTGGTGAAGGTGAAACTGGAAAAGGAGATCATGAAGTTGTAGTAAAAGAAGCTAAGGAATTAACGGCTGAAAAACCAGGTCATGTTGTTGATATGCCTACTACAGCTGATGTTAAAGGCAAGAAAGACAAACACCAAAAGTCAGGCTCAAGTTCAAGTTCAAGCTCAAGCTCAAGCTCTGATTCAAGTTCAAGCGACTCTGAAAGAGAATGAAGATGATAGAAAGAATTGGTGGAAGAAGGTAGGGGAACCTTTGGATTTTGTTTTTGGAGCTTTCGTTTACTTTATTGTGTCAATGAAATTGATCGCGAGGAGTTCAAGTTGGTTTACTTTGTGTTTATTGTTTTAGTATTTTGGCTTATTGCATGGTTTGGAGTGCCTTGTGAAAATGATGGACTCCTTCAAGAATGAGTTTTGGTTTGATTTCTTGAAGCATTCTTTTCTTCTTTTCTTTTTTCATCTTTTCAGCAGTTTTGGAGATTGTTGGGAGAAAAGGTTTTGATAACTTGTATATGGATTCTGTAATGAAACAGTTTCTGTTTGTCTGTTTTGGTGAAAGTAATGGCAAGATTCATTTCCTTTGTTTGTTGCTTCTTTTTGCTGTTTTTCTCTCTCTAGTTCTTTTAAGCTTTCTTGTTTGTTATGCGTTTAAAATATACAGGATAGGATAAAATGGAACAATAACAGAGATTTCAATTGACGGATTTGCAAATTGAATATATGGAAGGACTAAGGTTAGTAAGCAATTATCTGTAGAAAAGTAGCACTCCACTAAGTATTAGTAAGCAATTATCTAATAAGTATTCCAACATAGCAAACCTGTATTCCCTGAGTTTCTTTTTCTCTTATTTCTCTTGAATTTTAACTAAAAGTCTACTAGGTTAGCTGGGAAATCCATATGGGAAAATTGCGTTCTCTCAAAATTTTGAAAAGTTATTGACAGGTTAAAATGCATTAAGGGGTCATTTGGTTATTGGGTTAGAAATATAATGTTACTATAAAACTACTTTTGGCATGATGTAATTATTACTTTTGGTAGAGTATTTTCATGGAGCGATTCCTATATCATTTTACACTGAATCCAACCTCAGGTAACGTAAAAGAGAATTAACTTTACAGGGTAAGACCAATATACCCTGTTTCATCTGTCTATTTTCCATTTACTTTGAAAACAAGTGCTTCTGAAATTCTACATTAAACACGTATATCGAATCTGAATACGATGAACTAAACATCCGACAAAAAAATTAACGCACTAAATAATCTTGTGATTATTTAATCTTTGTATATAACCTTTAACCTATATATAATGATCCATGCATGATTTCGGAAACCAAACAACTCCTAGAAGTGTAAAGTAAGGAAGAGATCTTTCTAAACCCACTGAACCATTTCACTAAACGCTGAAATATAAAAAACATTAGCACTTGGTAGCAGTATATTGACCGTTTTACACACATTCATTAACTTACTAATATCCTACATACATCATATCTTTCCTTAGAATTACAACTTGGACGCATAGTAAGTACAATAATAACCAACATTCAGGCAAGGGATTTATGTGAACTTCCACAAAAAGTGGCTGTTCTTCTGAGCCTATTCATCAACTTTCCTAAGAGCAATTGGTGTCATAGCTAGCGAGTCCCAACAACTCCGGACCTTCAAGTCGAGGATTGTGCTCAAAGCTGCAAATTACGAGTTCAGGAAACTCATCAGAGACGATCAACTAGTAAACTATCTTATAGAGGAAGCAGTAGGAGATGACCCCTAAATTAAGACATCAAGAAGAATAGCATGGTATAAACTATAACGCAAAAGCTACACGGGTAACACCCCACATACGACAAATGGGTACAACCAGTAAACAAGTAGTCTCTTTTACTAAATTGGAAGGACAATTGCTTTCTGAAACACATACTGAAAAGATTATTCCATCTGCAGCATTATATTGTTATACCATGACAAAGACTTTATTGGTCAAACGACAGCTAACAACATGCCTAGGGGTTAAATGACAAAGACTCAGTGTCCTAGGTTTCAGATACAGATAACCGTAATTCATTTTGCATTTAATCTGCAGGCATCTACTAAGTAAGAGCTCTCAGTCCACCAAAAACAGTTCATATGTAAAGGACTGGTAGCTACAACTAGGGTGGTACTCCAATAAGCAATATTCTATTAGTCAATGAGCAGATGTAGATTGCAAAATGCTGCATTTGTTATTCAAAAAGAAGTGTTGAAAGGATTTGGAATTCTAATTTCTATAGCTCGGTACTGCTTATTAATAAGATTTTACCTAAAAAAAAAAAATTATAGTTTCTATAGTTTATAAGGTCAACGAAAAACTATTACGTTATTAATTGCATTTTTTGGATATAGATTTAGGAGGTTATGTGATGAGTGGACAAGTTCTCTGGGCATCGCAAAAGTTGTCCATAACTCACACAAGAAGATCTCAAACCTAACACCCTCGGAAACTGCATGAAAATAGTGCACAGCCATAGTGAAAAATGCAATTACTCAAAATTTGTTGTAGTGAATGGAAATCCATCAAATCTTGCAGAATTGTAACAGAACAAGGCAACTAAATCCAGTTTTATCATCTATGCATCCAAAAGGACAATACAGTAGTCCTTACATTTCAAATTTTAAAATTCTGAATCATGTAAAGATTAGTGAGAACAGCCATAATCCAACTAGGCCTTGAACCAGTGGTTTACAGAGAAAATCAGACAATTAAAGAACTAAGGGAATAAACAAAAAGCAAAAAAGAACCATTCAATTGATTTGAGTTGCAGCTCTAATATGCATGACTAAAAAACAAAATAAAAGTACAATTGGGCTTCCTTTGGGCTTGAAGTAAATGGAGTCAAAGATATCTTGTGTATAACTTGAATTGATACAAACCATAATGCTAATTGAAACAACTGGAACTCTTGGAACTCTTTTTGGTTAATATATCACGCTCTTCAATTTTTTTTTTGATAAGTAATGATGATTAATTATTGATGTATGCCAGCAAAGAGCTGTAGCATTACATTCTATAATTAGGTGTTATTTTAAGGCCTTTCGAGAAATCAATGAACTGTTCTAGGATAGAAGGTCGCATATCCAAATCCTTCCCAAAGTAAGTTTTCTTATTGGAAAAAAAGGATCTTTTTTTTTTTGGTTTCCCACCCGGTGTCCGGTACCCGCATTGGAGCCCGACTATATCCGGATTCGAGCCGGGTAGCGCTCCCTACCCCCCAAAGGATCTGAAGTTACCCTTTCCAAAGTCATTTACCTAATCCTTCAATAAGTCCCAAACCTGAAGCCCAAATTTAACTTAAGATGAAGAGAAATCAAGAAAATAGTCTTTTCTAAAGGTATACTTGATGGCACAAAGTATACAGAGACATGATTACTATTTGCACCATTGCACCATATCTGTTCCTACAGTTCAATATTGTAACAATACTCGTACAATATACAAAGAAATCTTACTTGTTCAGTGGAATATGCTCAAATGGACCAGAAGTAGGAATTGTTCCACACAAATTGTTATTTGAGACATCCCTGGAAGAAGTGCAAATAGTTTAAAAACTATTTCGCATAAGAATAACGATAATAACACAAGCAAAGAAATATGCACTTACACAACTTTCAGGCTAGAAACACTAGAAAGTTCTCTTGGGATTGGTCCAGTTAGCTGGTTATCATTCAGGCGCCTGATAAGTTAGATAAGAAGCTTTTCAGTCAACAGAAAAGGATTGTCCAACAACAGATTCACTACAAGCACAAGTGCTTGGTTATATGCAACAAGGGGGAGCTTTCACTCAAGACTTTACAAGCTCATTTAAGGTCAAACAGAAACTGAATATTGGTCATAAAAGAAAACGGAACTCTGCGAGTAGCCCAAGTAACTGGTAGTAGCCTTCTTTTTTCCACTCATACGTAAAAGTACATATGACTGGAACAGAATAAGGAAACATCGCAAAGGAGAACTTACAGGAAAACAAGATTTTTCAACTTTCCCAGTGAAGGAGGGATTGTCCCTGAAATATT